TCTGACATGCTCGATGTCTGTGTCATCGTCTATCTTGACGATATTCTGATCTACTCTGATACGCCAGAAGAACACCGAGAACACGTTAAGGAAGTCCTTCGGCGGTTACGGAAACATCGGCTTTATGCCAACCCCGACAAGTGCGAATTCAATATGGATACTGTTGAGTATTTGGGTTATATTCTTTCTCCCGACGGATTGACTATGTCCAAGGAGAAAGTTCAGACTGTTCTAGAGTGGCCGGTTCCGAGGAAGGTTAAGGACATCCAGTCCTTCCTGGGTTTTGCAAACTTCTATCGTCGTTTTATTTATAATTATAGTGATATCGTTGTGCCGATGACTCGGCTTACCCGAAAAGGCGCGTCCTGGATCTGGGACAGCAGCTGTCAAGAGGCCTTCGAAAATCTCAAGACTGCTTTCACTTCTGCGCCGATACTGGCTCATTGGGAGCCGAATCGCCCACTTATCATGGAGACCGACGCTTCCGATTACGCCATTGCGGCTATTCTTTCCATCCAATATGCTGACGGTGAAATTCATCCCCTAGCCTTCCTTTCCAGAACGCTTCATGCGGCGGAACTCAACTACGATACACACGACAAAGAGCTACTGGCCATCTTCGAGGCTTTTAAAGCTTGGCGTCATTATCTGGAAGGTTCGGGTGATCCGGTGGACGTCGTCACCGATCACAAGAATCTTGAGTATTTCTCTACTACCAAGGTTCTCACACGCCGACAGGTCCGATGGTCAGAATTTTTACATCAATTTAATATGGTCATTCGCTTCCGACCGGGGAAACTCGGCGAGAAACCTGATTCAATAACTAGACGCTGGGACGTCTACCCTAAAGAGGGGGATATCGGCTACGCCCAAGTGAACCCTCATAACTTTCGCCCTATCTTTACTAACGAACAACTCACTGCGTCCCTTCGAGCTACCTTCCTGGAAGGTCCGGCTTTACGAGCCTCGATAATCATGGATATCGAAGCTCTACACCAAGCTATCATTCTCGCCCTTCCCGCCGATCCGAGCTCCGTCGCTGGTTTGGAACTTGCAAAAGATCCTTCCAATGAACGTTGGAGCTTAGGTAGCGACAAGCTACTACGCCTTGACGACCGTATTTATGTCCCTAATCACGGCGATCTTCGCCTTCAAGTCCTCCGCTACTTCCATGATCATCCACTTTCCGGCCATTTCGGCCAGAACCGCACTTTAGAAGCTGTACGTCGTCAATACACCTGGCCTAAGGTCAGAGACTTTGTTCGTGACTACGTTACTTCCTGCACTATCTGTGGTCGCAATAAGCCCCGTCGTCACCGGCCTTACGGCTTGTTGAAACCTCTGCCGGTTCCGGTCCGACCATGGGATTCCATCTCCATGGACTTCATTGAGCAACTGCCAATGTCGAATGGCTATACAGCTATCCTAGTCGTTGTGGATCGATCTTCCAAACAAGCTATATTTATTCCAACTCACGACACCATTACTTCCGAACAACTAGCTGAGCTTTTTGTTATTCACGTTTTCTCTAAGCATGGTGTCCCTAATCATGTTACTTCCGATCGTGGTTCCGAATTTGTTTCGGCGTTCTTCCGGGCTCTCGGTAAAGCGCTCTCCATGGAACTTCACTATACCTCTGGATACCATCCGGAAGCCGATGGGCAGACCGAGCGTGTCAATCAGACTCTCGAACAGTACATCAGGATCTATTGTTCCTACCAACAAGATGACTGGTCGCCTTTACTTCCGATCGCCGAGTTCGCCTATAACAACGCTCCCAATGCTTCCACTGGTATTACTCCATTCTTCGCTAACAAAGGATACCACCCAAACATCACCGTTCGGCCCGAGGTCGACATGAAGTCTGATCTAGCCAGAGACTTCGTCGTCAATCTCGATGAACTCCACGTCTTCCTTCGAGAGGAAATCCTTCTAGCTCAATCTCGTTACAAGGAACAAGCTGACAGGAAAAGAGTCTCGCACCCGGAGTTCCCGATCGGCTCCGAAGTATTTGTTCTTGCTAAGCACATTCGTTCTACTCGTCCTACTGAAAAATTCTCAGAAAAATATCTTGGTCCTTTCAAGGTCATCAGTCGACCTGGTACTTTGTCTTATGAGCTCAAGCTCCCAGACTACCTTCGCCGCATTCATCCGGTTTTCCACGTCTCACAGCTGGAGCCGGTTACGCCGAACCCGTTCCCGAATCGTACTCAATCTCCTCCACCTCCAATTGAAGTTGATGGTGAAGAGGAGTACAACGTTGCCGAAATCCTCGACTCCAAGCTGGACAGAAGGTATAAACGTTGTCCGCTACGTTATTACATTCGGTGGGCCGGTTACGAAGGTACCGATGATGAGTTTTCTTGGGTTGCTGCTGATGAATTACATGCTGACGAACTTGTACCGGCATTCCACGCCCGATACCCGCACAAACCTGGACCTTGATCACAAAAAATCATTTTATTCCATTTCCCTTTTCCGCCGCGCTCCGCCGAAGTCTACTTTGTGCGTTTAGAGGATAAACACGATGATAGCAAATTGAGTGTTTATCTCCTTCTCTTAATTACTTACATTCTCCTTTAATGTACTTTTTCACTTATATTCCAGTTACATTTACAACTACTTACACTTCGAACTAATTAATTCTTCCGCCGCTTCGCGGCCCATTCGCTTTCCGATTTCAAAATCGAGTTAAAATTTTTTTATATACAAAGTCCAAAAAACATACAACGAAGGCAGGGTAACAAGAAGAGTACAAGAAGGTGGCCGAGGGCCGATGTCCGATGTCCGATGATACTCTACTCCGCCCTCTCCTTCCCTTTCTCCGACCGGGCCTTCTTCGGCGCCGGTTCTCCCTCTTCCTCTACCTCCTCCTCTCCTTCTCCATCCTCCTCTTCCCCAACCTCTTGCTCTACTCTCCTCTGTTCCTCTTCCTCGTCGCTATCCACTTGTCTCCTCCTCTTCTTCGACAAATCCGACGGCCCAGCCTCCGGCAGTTCTGGTGGTGTTCGTCTCCTTCTTGAGGCATCCGTGATTAACCAGTCCAACTTCTTGTTCATGTGGCGATGGTAGGTGTTCGCCTTCACCTGGCCATCGCGAAGTTGCCGGTTGTCGGCGAGTAATTGAGCCACCTGGCTCTCCAGAACCGCAAGGCGCTCGCCGTACGGAGCTCCTCCCCCCTCGCGCTTCACCGTTGAGGGCCGCCCGGAGTACGAGCACCGGACCTTGGCGTCGTGGCAGGGTTTGCAAATAACAGAGCTCCTCTTGCCAGCCTGCATCTGACAAGAGATCTTTTTGCTCCTGCATCGTTCGCAGGGAGCCCTGTCATCTTCATCGTCGTCGTCGTCATCCCCGTCGCCGCCGTCATCGGGGTCCTCACCGACAGGCTATAAACGGAAAGGTTAGCAGATAAACAGGCATCCAGAGTCCTTCAGTACTCACCTGGGCCTTGGTCTTGGACTTCGCCTTATCCTTCCTCTGCCTAATCTCCACCACGGGACGCCGGATGGAGGCCGAAGTCTCACCTGGGGAGGAACCCCGCTGACTTCGAGCGGTAGCAGCCGCCGCCATCACCCTCCGACGCTCCTCTAACTCCCGCGCTGCCGCCTCCCTCTGCCTCTGCGCCTCCTCAGCAGCTTTCCTAGCCGCCTCTTCCTCGGCCTTCTTCTTCGCCGCCGCCGCCGCTTTTCTCGCCTTCATCCTGCGGACCTTCTCCTCCGCCCGCCGGATGGCCTCGTCATCGTCTTCCTCTAACTCCTCCTCGTCGTTGTCGACAGTATCGGCGGGTGGTGGATTTGTCGTTCGGGACCTCGAAGGCCCAGCGGTATTAGCAGAGGTGATGGTGGTAGTAGTAGTGCGGCTAGCGGACATTTTTGACTTAGAAGTTTTGGGGACTTGGGTCTTATCGGCGAAATTCTCGGCCTTTTATACGGCAAAACTGCGCACGGACCAGCGAAAATTTTCCTTCGAATTGTACTTGGTGTACGGTGAACCGAAAATTTTCACTGATGACTAACGCCATTTCCCGGTACTAACGGCTTTTGAAAATTTTCCTGCTGACTGATGGACCAAATTCCCGATGCTGACGGCCTTTAAAATTTTTCTTTGGTGACTAACCAACTACCGGTATTAATGGCTTTCGAGGGCTCAAGCCTAAGAGGGGGATACTGTTAAGTCCATGCCGCGGGCCTCCATTCCGCCGCTCGGTACTCCGAAGATCTGCTCTTATTGTAGTCTGACTTTTATTGTTCTTTCTCGCTACACATACCCTTTCGTTCTAGTCTCTCACTATTGTCTTTTACCCTTTCGTCCTAGTCTCTCCTTATTGTCTTTTACTTTACCCTGCAGGTACTACTCGTATAGCTCCTAGTAGTTAGTCTGGCGCTCCGCACCGCCGCGCCGTTCCGTAGATATAAATACTGCCTGTACGCTACTGTAGTTCCTCAGTTTAATTATCAACTTAGATCAACTTAGATCTCCCTTCTCAACTTAACTCTTCTCTAAGTCTTCAGGCTCAACGCCTTGAAGTACGTTCTCCTCGACCTTAGGACTTTAACGTTCTCTGGTTTGCTCCTTGTCACCGGCGATACCGCCGCTCCGACCTGGCTGCTACTTAGCTCCTCTCTCTCTACTCCCGCTCTCCGGGGACTAACGGCGTAACGGCGGTGTTGTTAATAACTTCACTACTGTCCCACTCGTCTTCCGCACTTAGGCACCTTGTAGCTTTGGCACGGTTACACGGTATACATGATCTTAACAGTTATAGAAACAGTTAGAGTCTATATAATCACTGTAGATACAATTTGGTGAACATTGCTAATATTATTATGTCTTCATTCTTGTCAAAGATTTGTGTTCTCTTTTGCTGGAGAAGTTGGGGTACACGACAAAAACATGTTACTGGGAAAAAGACAAAGGACTGAAACATGAGGCAATGATATAATTGCCACTGGTTGAAGTGCAATCGAAACTGTCTTTGCATCCTTTACTTTTGTTCTTTGATGCCAGACCCTACATCCAACTCGAAACCTCAGCAGGGTGACCAATCACCTGAGCCAACTCAGTCTAGAGCAGGAGCATCATCACGAAAGCGCCAGCGGTCACGATCACCCTTGCAGCCTCAATCCACAGGTCCAAGCAAAAGGTTCCATAAAGCTCCTAAGGCCAGTCCAAAACCAACCGGGGAAGAAAAGAAGAAGAGCAATATGTATCATATCAAGAGTGAGGATATTCCAGAAGATGCACGGGGCCTTAAAGTCAGTGTCTTTTTGTGCCACTTCAAAGAAAAAAATTATTCAAGATAGCCCTGTAGCGAGCATTTGAGATTCATATACGCATACTGTGGAACTCTGTGTCAGAAAATGCTGCTCCCAAGACCCCAAGTAACATCGACATTGCAAATTTTAGGCAAAGGTAGGCCGTTAAAGTTGTTATATTGCCACTTATTCTTACCATCAAGTATTCACTCTTAGATTTTCTAATCGCCAAGAAGTTGATGAAGTACTGAAGAAGCCTAAAGTTTCCCTTTCCCATGAATCACTTGAAGCTGTAGAGTCTCTTCAAAGGACATGCCAGATTGATCCTGGGACAATTGCCAGTGCGATTGCTCAAGTGGATGACCATAGCTTGCGAATGACTTTCAGTGTCATAAGCTTATTTGGTGTCACTAAATGGCGTCCTGATGTGCTCGGTGCCTCACCCACATCACTCTACAACCTTACCATGGAGAGTATTGCTATTTCAAGCTTCGAGCTTGGATTGCAAAGTCATGGCTATGTGTACTTCGAGCCAAATTTGGAGTACATTCATAATACAGCTTTTCTGCGCCAAATCTACCGAAACTATGTGTACTCTCATCTAAAGAAGCAAATTCTGAAAGAGTCGGGAGAAAGGAAAACTCGCTTCTGATGCAGTTAAGAGGGTAATGTATAAACAATGAAAAAAGGTTCATTTCATTCTTTTCCATCCAGACTTTCATTCATTGTTCATCTCAGCTCATGAAGGCTCGCATCAAGTACACTCAGGATTCAGGCTTCAATGATCGGCTTAAGAGCCTGATTGCAGAGCCTGAGTGTAACTCTGAAGATGAAGATGCTGATGATGGATCGCTTCATATCTTGGTGAAGAATCTCCGCAGTGAAAATGCAACACATTTCATCAAGCATGACATTGACAAAGGTATCCGTACAGTAGCTGATTTAACTGGATCAAATCGTCACTCATATAGGAAGAAACCTCGAAAGTTGCATCCGTCGAACAAGAAGTCAATCTTCAGGAAGCTTCCCAAATATTGTGCTCTTGACTGGTTTATTCCGGAGCAATTCAACTCTCTTCCTCCGCAAATTAGGAAGCGATATGTCAATGCAAAGATTGCCTTACCATCCCTTGATAAGCGAAAGAAGTTGAAGGTGGCAGACTGGGCTTTTCTATCGGAGGAGGACTTTATGAAGAAGTATGGGAATGAGGTTCAGAAACTCTACAAGTTTCCAACTGAGGAGGAGCTCAATGCAATGGATCCAGATGATTCGGGAAGCGATGATGCTAGTGCTATGGATGAGGACGAGGAGTGACTGACTCAGAAGGGCTAAAGCAATTGTAATAACTTTTTTTTCCTCTATTCGGCTTAAAATATGCATAGGCAACTCCTCAGGCTATGATATATCATGGTACGATACCTTTCCATATCTACTTCTGTTCAATATGTGGCCGAGGATTTATTTTACCTGCCATCTTCGAATAATTTTGCTCCCACCATGACCATTCCTTCTACTCTAAAACTCTATGAATCCTGATTGTGATGTTCGAATTCATGAAATCTTTTCTTGTGTTACGCTACCTCCACTTCATGCATCCTGAGATTTGGCTGAGTGAAGTGCTTGCTGCTGCTTGCAACTCTGAGGTGAGCTACACTATTTCAGCTGTATCTCTGCCAATTCCTGATATATTTCTACTCTATATAGTGCGAATTCTTCGCCTGACTATCCTCTACAGGCCCCTGCCATTGCTTTTTATGTTAGTCACTTTTTGAGAGAGGCCCTCACTGCTGCCCACAACTCCGAGGTGAGTAACACTGTTTCAGCTATATGTCTCTCAATTCCTAATGGATTTCTATACTATATAGTGCGAATTCTTCGCCTGACTATTCTCTACAAGCCCCTGCCATTGCTTCTCATGTCGGTCACTTTTTTAGAGAGGCCCTCACTGCTGCGCACAACTCCAAGGTGAGTAACACTGTTCCAGCTATATCTCTCTCAATTCCTAATGGATTTCCATACTATATAGTGCGAATTCTTCGCCTGACTATCCTCTACAGGCCCCTGCCATCGCTTTTCATGTCGGTCACTTTTTGAGAGAGGCTCACTGCTGCCCACAACTCCGAGGTGAGTAACACTGTTTCAGTTATATCTCTCTCAATTTCTAATGGATTTCTATACTGTATAGTGCCAATTCTTTGCCTGACTATCCTCTACAAGCCTTCTGTCCATATCAGTTATTTTTTCAGTGATGCCCTCACTGCTGCCTGCAACTCCGAGGTGAGTTTCAATATTTTTGCTGTATCTCTTTCAATTCTGAATGGAGTTCTATGTTATATAGTGCAAAGTCTTCCTTTGATTATTCTCTACATGTGCCTTCCATCACTTGTCATGTTGGTTTTTGAGTTCGTTCTTTACTGCTGCCTCTAACTTCAAATTGAAGAACACCATTCTGATTATATTTCTGTTTAATTTTCACATTGCTTATATTGATAATTTTACTTCTATCTACGTCCTCGGTTTAATGCCCAACAAATAGCTAACATGTCTGACTGAATCCCATATGTCCCCTTGGGCCGTTTATATACACTGAGATGGGTGATGATATGCCGGGGTTCAAGGATATAAATATGATCAGAAGGTGCTTCTCTAACTAGCTTTGTCTTCAGCAGTGAGCAAGGAAAGTGGTAATAAGGACTCTTTAAGTTTTGAGCAGGAGATAATGCTTGATGCTTTCGTATAAGCAAAAAGCATTCTTTTATACCTTCAAGGGGAAGCTCCCAGATAGCCTCAATATATCCTGTTTCCCAGGTACCTCCAAATCCACCTGGAATATAAAATTGGATATGACTTTGTCCTTCATGGGATTTGGTACAGCTGAAAGTAGTGTTGTTGAATGGGATTTGGGAGTGACATTTAGCTCTTGTTGGAAGAATCAAAGTTCCAGATGGATAGCGAGAGTTGGTATATGCTGACTTGTATTCCCTGCCAGAGTTATTCATGTATTTGAGAAGGATAGCATAATGAGTTTTGCTCAGAGGTTCTCCATCACTCAAAGCCTTAGCAATCTGTGATCCAGTCATGGTTTCAGGTGTGGACATGAATGCAAAAATATCCCTGGGTTCTAGAATTTTGGCTAACTTCTGTGTTGCAGGATTTGTAAACTGGTTGTCATGAAGCAGGCCCTCCAACCTTCCTTTACATGCAGACTTTTGGACCATTGTCAATTCCATATCACCTGAGTACAATATATTATAAATTGAGTGAATTCAACTTTGGCTAATTGCCAAATAGACTTACCTAAATGCTTATTTGTTTTGACTTGTCCAAAATTACCATTCATTCTTTCTCCTGGAAACTCACTGAGGAGAGCTAATGGCCCCCAAAATTTCAACTGATCTCCACCATGCATTGCATAATGATGATTTGGCATGGAACTGAACCCAGGATATAGTTCCTGTATTGAAACACGATACTTAACAAAGTGATCCATATAAATATCTGCCTCCACATTTGAGGTTGAGTATGCACATATGACATTGGTAGCAACAACTAAATCACAAAAGCTTTGAAGCCTTCTTATCTCTGTTTCATTGCCTCTCCACCATAGCTCTGGAATGACCAGGGGCAATATGACAGTGAAAAGTATAAGCAGCTCATGTGCCTTGAGTTTTCCATGGCTGGCTTCCCCCAGGTTTCTGGGTGGACGATCACTAGAAGCAGGAAGCAAGACATATTGTATGCAATTCCGGATGTTGCCTAATTGATCAGGTGTAAAATTGAAAGCTGTTTCAATATCCTGTGGAACAAAATCTTCATCCGTTTCATCTTCCCCATCATCAAGAGGAATAAACAATTGTGGAGTAGGAGTTGGGTCACGTTCTTCATCATAATTGTTTGACTCTTCCCCTATATCATCCACATCCATATCATTGAAATCTTCAGTTAATCCAGTTGCACTTCCATGCTGGCTAGCCTGTTCAGCTTCATTTTCCAGATCTTGAGATTCTTGAATGTATTCCTCAGTATCAATACTTGAGTTGCTTTCATCATCAAGAATCTGAGCAATCTTCTTAACCATTTCCTTTGTACGTCCAATACCCCATAAAGCTCTAAGCTGGTAAGCAAGAACACCTTCCAAAAAGTTATGCATAAAGCCAAGCACAACATGTTTATGTCATGCCCTGACCATAACCAGACCAGCCCCAGCATCAGCCCACACGTTCTCACATTCCCGACTCTCCTTGCACCTCCCCAGGACATCCCTGAGGCAGTACGCACCTCCCCAAGACAGTACCACCACCCTCTGAAAACGTCCGGACAACCATTCCGACACGCGTACGAAGCCCTCCGACACCAGCCCCATTAAGTACCAATCTCGATCGCCTGACTCTCTCTCGATTATCTGCCTCATGCTTCCTAGGTTCTGATGTTCCCTTGTTCACTTCCCGTACCTATTTAAGTAGCTCCCCAACGTCCCCAAGCCCCAGCTTGGTATATTTTGAACACACACCCTTTACATAGGTCCAGTCCCTGTCCCTTTGTACCTGCTACCTATACGGAATTCTCTTTACTCTCTGTTTCTTTACCTCTGTTTCTCTCTACTTCTGTCTATTGTCTCTCTGATCGTCTATATGATCAAATATACGCTTTCACTTCAAGTCTAAGCCTTCCGAGTGAGTCTCCGAGCTCCCTCGAACATTACTAAAGCTCCCCAATGCCTACCCGTTTTGGTGAGCTACCCTTCCCCAAACCTCCCAGAGCTCCCTAGCTACTTCATAAGCTTTGGGACCTCGATCTAGGTAACGTCGAAGCTACCCCTCACGTCGAACTACGTATTGCTTCTCCGTTACCACCTCCCACACTCGAGGACGTCCATCCTCAAGCCCAGCCCCCAGGGACCTACCCTCCCTGGCATATCCCTTCTCGGGAGCTTACACTCTCGAGACCCAGTTGCATACACGACCTACTCGATCCTATATTGACGTTCTAGCGAGTACAACTCCTACTACGCAATATCGTACGGTCCCGCTAACGAGCTTGCCTCGTTTTTGTGTAAAAGGGAAAGGAAGGAATCTAATGGGCACTCCAACCAACCAATCTAATACACAATATGCGAGTTCACTGCTATCAAATTTATTTAATAGCAAGGGGTAGCGTTGGCAAAGGTTCCGCAAAGCTTTGAGAGCTAAGTAAGAAGCTTTGATCAATCAATTTGAATCGTTCTAAGGATTCGATATATTCCTTTGATCAAGGTAGATTTAGCACGATTTGTGCTTTGGTTTGTATTGATTTGGGTATATCAAGAATTGGGGGTTTGAATCAAAGTAAATTAAAACCGAAACACACAGACCCCTACAGAGGGCTAGAACTATGTGCTGGCACAACCACACAGCGTGATTTGCCCTTAAGACCAATGACTGATCCTAAGTTCGAAGAATACCCAACAACTGGATAGACTTCTCGCAGTCACAAGGAGCAGAACACGACGTTCCTATACTCACAAGTGCCGGGCCCAAATGGCTGCTAGCGAAGAGGTTTCAGTCTGGCGGGAGTGTGTCTTTCCTTTTTACGGATTAGCACTGCAACGTCGTCCCAAAATCACTTGTATTCCAGATACATCGGATCGCTATTTATACATACAGAATATAGAGTCGCATAGTACAATTAATTTAATACAATAAACGTTCGGAACCGCAAGGAAACTTCTACACTCAGTCAGATACCATTTAATTTGAATCTACATGTCCTTATTTGGTCCATATTGGTTCCAAGATTCTAGTATACCTCCAAACATAGGTAGGTACTTCAATATTCATTTAATTTAATTGTTTTGGAGGATGACTCGAATGGTGTTCAACTGTCATTGCGGTCCAACACTTACTTCGATCGTTTGTCACCTTGTCCGGAGGCAAATCAGCTCTCCTCGATTCTAATCCTATCAATCTGATTCATCTGGATTAAACTAATTGCTTCTTTCTTTCAATAGACACCCATTGTGCCTATACTCTATCAAGGGAGTTACGCATAGTATTCATTTAATTGTATTCTTCAATATTTTCTACGTCAGGACTCTTTGACATTCATTTGATATGCCTTCGGAGCCTCGCAGTACTTCGATCGTTCTTCTAGTCATTTTCCTCAACCATGCAACTTGATTGGTCTATTAGACTAAACCGCAGTCTTTTAGGTTAATGCATGATCTCGTTCTAGAAGGAGTATTTGATAATTCCTGAGTTCTAGAAAGTCATTTCGAGTCAATCCTCGGTTCATGGTCACTTGAGTAAGTTCTTCCAAACTCCTGCCAGTGTAAGGTCCAATAAGAATACCCTTGGTATGTCATACGTGAATGGTCATCCTTCGGATGTAGTCCGAGTCTGGTATAATCCTGCTTGACAAACAGGTAGACTGCTATCCGTAGGTAGTATCGGGGATGGGTAAACTGACCAACTTGTGGTAGTATGGGTATATGGTCCCTTCAACTTATTAGACTGATTCAGTATCGACTTTGACTGTCAATCTGGGTCTCAATTACAGTCCTCTTGATACAAATCTATACGTGAAAATGTCACAATTCACAGCATAGACGTCTAGCCAAAATTTAGGCGTGTCACCGCACTCTTCCTTAACCTCCCTACGCCTTAGGGACCTCCCTGGACCTCCTAGGAACCCCTCAAGGGTCACCATCCCGTCGTTCCAGCCACTACTAGGTCATTCCCGTCCTCGGTCGCGGTTCTCGTAGCTCCCTTCGAGCTCCAGCCTGCTCCTAGCATGCTACAACATAAACCTCCACATACCAAAACCTACCCTAAGACCTATTTTGACCCAGGTCTTACATTATACCAAGCTCTCCCGTCACCGAACGGACTTGTCGCGACAAAATGTCGGCGACGTCAACGGAACGACCTTCTAGTTCCAAGACCGAATCAAAGAAACAAAAGAGCGCCTTATCTCGTGGAAACATGACACAAGCTCAAAAATCGAACCAGGCTGCTAGCTCCACTGTCATCACGGTGGCAGCTGGTCAACGCCTGATGTCCATCCCAGAACAGTCGTTCGGGGATGAAACCGCCAGCAACATCCGGACCCCAGAGGGACGTCAACCGGAGGTTCAGGGGCCCCCTCCAGTGGAACCTGGGATGGGACCACCACAACGGAGGTATACCTCCATGGGTTATGCCCAACCTGCCAGTAGTCCCATGGGAGGTTTCGCATACTCCCCTACCTGGGGAACGAGAGGACCTCCCCCTGGACCGGTACCGCAGCTAGACATGGAGTCAGCTTCGAACGCGGGTGGAAGAGTCAGCGGTCAAGTAGCCGCTATCGAAAGGATACAAGGGGGGAGTACTGACCCTCTCACAGTACGACAACAGGAGAAACTTCCAGAGAGGAGGGTATCCCCTGCTGTATCCGAACAATCTCGGACGTCATCCCGGAGGTTACCAACGCCTCCAGTACAGTCCCTTAACCTTCCTCCCCCGAGACGAGGAAGTTCACTCTCCAGTCTCCTGAAGAGCCCAGCTATGAATACGCCCAACTGGGAGCGTACACACGCAATACACCATAGCAGGACCAACTTCCCAGTACAACCCTTGTCCGAAATGACATTGCGTCTGGAAGACGTCATTCGAATTCAGGAGTGTATCCCGGAGGATGTAGCTATGGTCCTAAGGGAGGTATTGGAGTCAATGGGGATCGAAATATTGGGAGACGGTCTCGAATTCTCAGACCTACGAGTACAGTTCCTAACAGTGGGAACTCAACTGGAGATAGACCTCCCAGAGAAGGCCCAGCAGTGGCTGATGACCCCCGCGAACCGATCAGATTTTCTCTGGCTGTACAACGTCCTGTTGGACCCAGAGAGGATGTTGGAACTGTTAGAGGCAGAGGCACGTTACGGGCGATCGTTCCGAAACTCGAGGGGAATACTTCCCCTTCTCCCTCATACCCATGGAAGGGAAAAGGAATTCTGTGGAGAAGCGGGGCTGCGTATATTGTACCAAGCATCTAACTACAGATCAGGAGCTGTACGATTTGAACCTCCCCCTTCGAGGGTTAACATTCCGAACTACCAGGCGATCCAAATACTTCGGAACACAAACCTAGCGGAAGCAGCAGCTAAAACCGATGAGGAAAGTAACGAGGATACTAACGCAATTGCTGCAAAAAATCGTAGACGCAGGAGATACACCACGGCTCACCTCCTGGCCCCAGTGGAGTCAATGCCTGATCAGGATAGTCCCGTCCGGGTCCATAGCGGACAGACGGTATACACGTACACGCCCATGAGGCATATGCACCAGCTTCTGGTGAGGAGTGAGGAGTCTGAAGCAATGTTGTGTTCGCAGGAGACCCGACACCGGACACTACTAGCGGAATCAGACACTCTGATGCTGTCGGAGGAACTTTCTGGATCGAATCTAGAAAGAGCTTTGGAATTCCGTCGCAGACTGGTCGCGGATAATCGGGGAACCTCGTATATGGTTCAATGTGAACCAGAGAGCGTAGGGGAGTTCCCTCCGGAGCAATTTGACCAGAAAAGGCAGCTCCATGGATCTGATGGTCATTTCCTGGCACAGAAACATTCATCGCCCAGGAGTATTGAGGTTCCTGAACTCTTTAACCCCGGTAACACGGCCACGAGGAACCCCCAGTTACGCTCTGGGACCTCCCCCACTGTACATACCTTGGCTCAAAATTCGACTCCTCCCCCCAGAGTTAACCTGCAAACGAAACCGGTAACGCCAGTCTCGACACAGCGGT